CAAACATTAATCGACGCATTAGCTCAGGTTCGATTTTTCTATTACTATTTGGCAAAGAACCTGAAAATCGTAAAAAAATGTTAAGTTATTAGATATATAATGATTTATTAGATAATAATAATGAGTTACTTAATATTCCATTCATACGTTCAAAAGAAAAACACCAGAATACATATAACAGCCCATAATCTATTGAGCATTCGTTCAAATGGAGAGAAAGGTGGAGATTCAGCGTGATTTTGTTACGACCATGATTTTCTTCTATTAACTTTATTATTCTAATTAATCTTCTATGAACTTCATGTAATAGATCTGATTCCATAATCCGGTTTACCAAAATTATACAAATTCTCACGAAATTTGTAAGAATTTTTCTATCTACAATCAGAAGATATTCCCAAAGTGAAACAGTAGCATATACTATACATGAAGTCGAAATAGATCATTTCAGATATCCAAAATGGTCAAAATGGTCGAAATCATTTCGACTATTGGGGTGAAAAGTTGAAATAGTCAAAATGACGTCATATCACATGATTTTTATATATAGAAAAAATTAAAAAAACAAAAGATATACGATCTCGGTCAATATCACTCCGAATCGTATGAAACAACTACCATTCGATTCTCCGCGATAGGACGAATCCAATGAGCTAACATGCATTGATTTCGGATCATCCAATCTCGAGATAATCGCAATTGTATTATTGGCCGAAATTATAAATCATTAAATTCTACTTTAAATAAAAGAGTCCTAGATTTCAAAATTCGATCGCAAATATCTCTAGATGGTTAACGAATTGGGAAATTCTACATATCGACATTTCATTATAGTTAACATATTATCTTATCTAAAATTTAACACTTCCTGTTTTTGGTACAGTTTATGACATTTGGAGTAAGAAATGAAATGTTGAAATCTGTCTTTTATTCCAAGCGTCTTCTTTGTTAAGAATATTAAATTTGGAAAGTCTTTGAAATTGTTACCTCTGATTTCTGTCAAAACCAATTTCATAAATTTTATCAAAGCCTCAGTTGCAGACTCTGTAATGTTGAATCTTATCCGAAATGACATGATCCAAATTAATATTCATAAAAATCGGTCATTATCAATTGATTCTGTACTTGGTGGATTTTGAAATGGCTCATAATCCAGTGATGTATAATTCTCAAATATCTCAAAATCACCATTATCATCAGATTCACCATCATCAGATTCACTTGTAACTTCATCTTCTTCAGTAATAAATTCAGA